TCCGTCTGTAAACCTTTCAGATTTTCGACTTCTTTTCACTGGGCCAATTTTGACCAATCTTGGTACAAAGTATCCTTGGGTGAAAGGGAATTTAAATTGTTAAAATGAAGGGCCAAGAATCAAGAAAAGACAAAATAAGGTTTGGGTCATTAAAAAATCTTCTATTCAAGAACCACTGGGCCTGTTAAGCTGAAACTTATGTGGAAGCATCCTGGGGTAGTGTAGCTTCTAAATTGTTCAAATCATGACCCCCGGGGGTAGGGCGGGGCCATTGGGATTGATTGATTGATTGTATACTGTTTAACGTCCCTCTCCAGAATATTTCACTGATATGGAGACGTCGCCATTGCCGGTGAAGGGCTGCAAATTTAGGCCTATGCTCGGGACTCAGGGCCAATGAGCAGGGAGGGATCTTTATCGTGCCACACCTTCTGGGACACGGGTCCTCGGTTTATACGGTGTCATCCGAAGGACCGCCCCATTTAGTCGCCTTTTACGACAAGCAAGGGGGTACTTAGGACCTATTCTAACCCAGATCCCCACGGGGGCCACAATTGGGAATCAAAGTTTTACATAGAAATATATAGGAATTGTTTTTAAAAAATCTTCTTCTCAAGAACCACTGGGCCAGAAAAGCTGAAACTTATGTGGAAGCATGGGGTAGTGTAGATTCTAAATTGTCTAAAGTATGATCAATGGGGTAGGATGGGGTCTCAATATGTATTACAAGGGGGAAATCTGGTAAAGAACAGAATGGCCAAAGCTTCTCAGGTGAGGGATGTGGCCCATGGGCCTCTTGTTTATCTATGTAGCATGCGGACAAACAACAACAACAGAAAGTTTGACAACAACAATGATTGTCACTGGCGCAGAATCCACACTGAGTAGCTCAACAGAACAAATGGAGGAGACTACAAGTTCTATTACGACTGTTGAGCAAGAAAAAACAACATATACAGTAACAGCCTCTCCAGTTACAAGTCCCGAGAACAAGTTCACAACTTTGGATTTTTCTTCTTTGGAATCAACAACATTAGCGTCGACAATAACAACATCAACCGAGTCAGCCGAGATAACAGAAGATGTAACAACCTCTCCTGCAGATACAGCTACATTGATATCAACAACTGAATCATCATCCAATCCAACAACAAGGGCATCAACGACACAGGAAGCAACACAAACATTCACTACGAACCCGTCAACTACAACAAACCAAGAAACATCAACTGAAAGCTTAACAACTACGCAACCAATCACATTGCCATCAACTGCAAAAAACAAAGAAACAGCAACTGAAAGCTTAACAACTACTCAACCAATCACATCGACATCAACTACCAAAACAACATCAACAGTGGAGACGACAACTACAAGAAACTCAGAAACATCATCAACTTCCGAATCAACAACACCATCAATAATAAGTACTGACGGCAAATCAACTGCGAAAGAAGATACATCTCCAGCTACAACAACCAGTGAGCTTAAACCAAACCTTAGTACATCAACTTCGAAATCAACAGAAACATCCAATGAACCTCTGGGCACTACTACATCATCTAATGCAAAAGATACCGTAGAAGAATCGACTCAGTCAAAAGTGACAAACACTCAATTGATCGTTGGAGCCTCGGCTTCTATTGTTGGAATAGTATTATTAATGATAATCATAGGACTGGTAGCCAGAAAATGTAGTAAATCGTAAGTATTCATGTCTTTTTATTTTTAGGGGGCTGGCTGGAAATTTTATTACGCATTGTGTTTGAACAATGAGAAAAACAGCTAACATTGAATTGTATATAAAAGTCTTTCGTATATGTTTGCCTCAGTTACAGACTATCTTCATCATTTTCAAATGAACTTTCATATAATACTTCGTTCAATTACTGTCAATTGTTTAATCAGTAAAGACTCTTTTGAGACTTGTATAAGTATTCAGTCATAAAGTCGTTTAATCTAATTATTACATACATAGGAATAAACAACACGAAAAACAACAGGAAGATGATGGACCAATCAGAGACTGGAGAGACCTTGCATTGGCGGGAAAACAAAACACTGATTCTCTATACAATGCCAATTCCACCTTATCCTACAACAGAAATTCTTACGTTGCACACGCACCACTGCATCACCTCAAATCTAGTGGTGGATCTCGTCATGTGGACTCCAATAAATATCGCAGATATTGACAACTTTTAAGCTCACCTCCTATTGTACATAAATATGAATTAACATTTTCTTAGACTTCACTGAATTTGTATATATCATTTGCTTTGAAGCTGCTTAAAGAGGCATTTATATACTGTTTGTTTATGACCTTATATATTTTGTATAATATGCATTGAATATACATTTTCTGATAAAAGGAGGATTTCGCTTTGAAAGTAGAACATTGTTACATTTAAAAAAGTAGATAAATAATGAAAATATAATGAATAATAAAAAATAAAATTACGTGCATATGAACATTTTTATAAGGAGAACATGTTAATTTAAAAAACTCCATGGGTATGATTTATCAAAATAGTATATCACAAAATATAAACAGAATATATACGTGCACAGGGATATTGTCGTACCGATGTTAACATGGAAAGGCATTAAATGTTAATGTAGAATTTTAGTTGATAAGAAGGGAGATATTCGGACCCACGACCTAAGGATTAACTACTCACCTCACGGGTTTAGAACATGGAGCCATGCAACAATCGGTCCAAGTATATTATACGTTTAAGTAGTTCCGGACATTGCGCATTTATTTGCAAATGTGACATAGGTCTAAATGAGTTTACATTTGTAAAATTCATTGAATATTAATGATTGTAATTTACATAAATGTAACAGATATTTAAGGAATGAATTAGTGATAATGTAAAACATGAGTTTGGGCTGGGGTGTTTACGTTTTTTAATGAGAAGCGAAGCAGGAACGGTAATTAATTTTGAGTACAGGTCAATTTACAGGTAAATGAAATAAATACTTCAACTGAATCACTTGAATATAATACAACATCTTAAAGGATTCACGAATGTACTTTAATGTAGAAAATTAAACAAATTAAAATTAATCCCCAGATGTTCGAAACTATGTTGTCCAAAATAAAAAAGAAATGACATGATATGACATGACTTGACAAGATTCTTCTTATATACTTTATTGATACACATATGTTTCTGTATATCGAGCCTATGAACCACATAACGAATTGGAAAAGTACATTAAATAAGTTATAAATAACCACCACTCTTCAGGTCGGAGACCTGATTTTAAAGCAAATATTCAAGATGTTTCTATTGAACTATAAACATAAGGGCAATTTCCTGAAATACACTGATTCCAATATCTTTCTTTAATTTAAAGCTACAAACAACATCCTGTTCCTACACTGGCCGTATTTTCCTCCAGGTAATCTTGATCCTAATGAAATCAAAAATTTGAATCTCAACAGGGAAGATGGAGGCCCTATGTCATAGTGCATGTCTGGTAATCAACAAAGATACCACACTTCACATTGGTATAACGTTCCAGGTAAGATCTAAATTCGTGGTACTGAGCTGATGGCGTTCCAGAACAACACGAATGAAAATTCATAGTAAGACATACATTGGACAAACTAATTTGGTAAAGAAAGCTCTGGATATCCAAGAACTTGGAAAAAAAAAGAAATTAAAAGTTATTATCTATATTAAATATAATAAACCGTGTCTGTTCAAATATTTTCTATCCAAATGAATTAATTGAACAAACAGGAAAAACTATGGCTTAGACGTAATAACAGTGCAAAAAAGGTCATATCAATCGCTCCGTGGGGCTAAGAGAAGCGCACTGATCTCCTTCCTTTGTTGTTTGTTTTTTTTTTATTATGCAATGTATAGGGGCCTTTAGATTTCAAAAAATATATTTAGTCTTGACAAAAAATTGTTTAATATTACAGCAACCAAACTCTTTAAGGAATTTTTTACCATTTAGAAAGGTACATCTTGATTTTATTTACGTTTTTAATGCCCTGTACTGTAGGGTTATGATATGATTCTTCCACGTTTTCTTTTTAAAATTGTATTTTATTGTTCATATTTGCCCCTGCACTTAACACAAATGTGCCACAATATAACACTGCAAAGATGAATATTATTTAAACTGTTTGCGTCTCCCGTGTTTTGTGTGACATATGACAGCGTTATGTAGGTCAAAGACGTAAAATATTCCTTCATGTTATTTTGACAATATATGTCTATACTTTCACAAACATTACAGCTAGTCGAGTTTTACATGGCTAATTAAATCTCCATATAAGGTTACCCGGAAGAGGAATTCGATACAAAACACTTTTTAAGTTGAAACTTCAGAGACAAGTCTAACTTGGAGGCTTTAATTACTCTTAACACAATAAACGATGACATATCTTTCAATTCATGAACAATAATTTTTTCAAGCCTCTAGATGTCATGTGTCATTTTCCATCATTATTTTGTAGCATTTGATATCTGATAAAATCATTCCATAATGCAAGATTTCTCAACTAAAGCACTGTTTTTTCATTATTTATTTTTTTCATATGAAAATCTGATTCCTTTATATTACCGATTACGACTTTTTTACCGATCACAACTGGTTTTGCCCTTACGAGATGCTGTCATTACACAATTTACTCATTAGAATTATATGAACCTTACTGCGTTTTCTATTATTTGGTTAAGCGCATTGAAAGTAGTCCCATGTTGATAATACATGTCTTGTTTTTGGTAATAGAATAAACTATAAAACAAATATTTGTATCATCTTTCTTATTTAAATTACTTTCCTTAATTAAAATTTTTAATCAATATGCCCCCGATGGATGTTAAAAGTCACAGTTGGGGTTTTTGTACCAATGGAAAGGTCTTGTCAGACAAACAGACAGACCGGAAAAACAATATACCCCAGGAAAGAAAGAAATTTTCTCCAAAATTTTAGAGATCATTGTTTAAATTTCGTGGCCTTTCTGATTTTTTTGTTTAGTTAAACAACTTCATATTTGCTTCATAATTTGGTGATTTAAGATAAAAAGTAAAATAAGCAATGATATTCTTCTGTTTGGGAGATAAGAAAAGTTGTTTGTGGTACGTAGTTTGTAAATAAAAAATATTGATAGATGCTGAATATGCATGTACATGTACCGCATTTTTTGATATCTGACATATTTAACACACAGATCTTTAAAAAGTATCTAAAGACGTTCTTGTTTTTCATTCAATCATGAAATTGTTGCATATTTGTTAACATATTTGTTTATGCATACAATATTTATAAAAATACAAATACTTTGTCGAGTGTCAGCAATTTAATACTTTGGTTGGACATTTGATATACATCTTCCTGATAGCTATCTATTAAAATTGTAACAATATTTCTTTTTGTCATATCCTTTTCTGTGCTCTATTTACACACTAGAACTTGAGGAATGAGAAATTTTGTGCTTTGTTTCTACTTGGTCATTATTTCTTGTTTCATATTTGGAATAACGGCATTTTGTGAGTAATAAATATTTCATTTTTTTTTTTGGCGAATCCAATCACAGAACTTAAGGACAGATGATACAAACATTTCTTTTTTCTTTGAAGGAGACTTAATATCATCTCATAGGCTTAGAAAAGTGGATAATTCTTCGAATTTCTTCTCCTAAGAATTTGAAAATGAACTTTATGAGGAAAGGCAAAATGACATATGATCAGATCAGCAATATCACATAGGTTGACTTTTACCATTTTACTTTTCCTACTCAAATTCACATGGTCCATAAAATATGTAAAATATACCCAATTTCTCTTTTTGGAGCGCATTTCTGTTGATGAGAAAAAACAATGCCTGATGGGAATGAGCAAGTTGAAGTGACTCCATCCCCTGGACAATAAAACTTAGATGAGCTCACTTTTCATCTCAGTCTCACTTTTCTATTATTTATTGCTTTGGAAAAGTGAGACTTAGGTCAAAATTGAGCTCTCACTTTTGATCTCAGTCTCACTTTTCTATTATTAATTGCTTTGGAAAAAGTGAGACTGAGATCAAAAGTGAGCTTGTCTAAGTTTTATGGCCCCCAGGCCAGCTGCAATGTCTTTGTGGGTGAGATGTCAATTTTTATGACACATTGTAGGTAATATGAACACCCTTTCATATGTCATTTATTTAGAAATCATCACTGAACTCTAAGGTCAGTGTCAAAGGGTTAATGTTCTAGGTATCCAATGAAAAGTCTTCTCACAAGGATTACATACGTGAAGTATGAAAGCCTTAGCCCTTACCATTCCAAAGTTATGGTCCAGGTTAAATTTTTCTCATAAGTACGAAAAATCTCCAAGGTCAAAGGTGGATTTTGGTATCCAATAAAAGGTTTTGCTACAAAAAATACATATGTGAAATATGAAAGTCGTAGTACCTACCATTCAAAAGTTATCGCCAAAGTGAAAGTTTGAAATTTTTGTGTAAAAGTGGGTCAAACTACAAAGTCAAGGTCAAATTTGGTGGTACTCAAAGAAAGGTCTTGTCACAAGGAAAACACATATGAAATATGAAAGTCATAGCTCCACTAAATCAAAAGCTATAGGCAATGTTAAAGTTTTTGTGACGGACGGACAGCTACATGTAGACAGACTGACGGACAGTCAGACAGATGGACAGACGGACAGACGAATGAGATTTAATGTCCCCTCGCTTTCGTGAAAGCGGGGGACACATTACATAGGCGTCGGAACCGGGGGGGGGGGGGTAGGGGGGCTTCCGACGCCCATGAGTTACTAATTCAAAACACATTATTTCATTACATAGATAATTTAGCACTTGGCAGAGATGTGACGGGTGTTTATGAGGGTTTTACTGGGAACATTACCGACGGAGATACATGTGTACTAATAACTGTGGACGTTTTAGGGGGAATTATGTGCAATTTGGCATCAATCTTCAAAAGACATATATCATTAAGTCGTGTAGGCTCAATTTCAAAGTTATTTTCAATATAATTTTACAAAATCATACTTCACTTTAAAAACATGTTCGAAATGATGAATTTACTGTAAACTTGATTTGATTTATCGATCCAGTCAAAATATGGTTGAAATATTGCTGACTTGGCATTTAAAGAATAATCACTCAATCAACCGAATACTAGTGATCGAAATAAATTTGCACATATAATTAAAAGATGGAAATGCTATAGTCGTGTCTTTTGACCTCATAGATTTTTTTTTTTAATTTTACACAGGAAACTTCTCTACGAACGAAACAAATATTCGGTGTTTTGATTCC